AACAACAACAACATAATGTTACAGCATGTGAAAGGACCACACAGACAACAGTGTCACTAACTGTCTAACTAGAAACCCCATTTGCATTCCCAGGGATAATCCAGATGACCCAGAACCTGCCACAAGTGGAGTTATTACTGCAGCTGGCACAATGCCAACGTCATCCATTTTTTTATGGATGTATATATATATTTTTTACATATGTATGTATTAAAATTGATCTAGGAGGTAAGGGCTATTATTATTTCTTTTATAGATAAGAAAGCGAAGTTACAGATCCAGGATGTGAACCCAAGATATTCGATTTCACAGCCGTGGCTCTTAAGCACTCTGCATGGAGGGTAGTACAGCAGATGACATGAGCCTCAGAGCCAGATGGAATCTCACGGTGGTGGAGGATCACTGGTTTGAAAGCAGATATGGCAAGTGGAAGAAAAGGAATAGCTTCCACCAGAAAGGGGTTCAGGGAAAGTGGTGGTGTCCATTCTACCTCATGGCCATACTGAGGCAATTCCCAGGTCTTGCTGATGTAAAAACCTAACTGTTTCGTACTCTTTTTTCCTCTTATTCCCACCACCACAGCTCTGGTTTAGGAGTCCTCATCTCTTGCCTGGACTGCCACAATAGCCTCCCAACTACTTTCTAGTCTTGCCTTGTCTTTTCTGTTCCATACTATAGTTACAGTGACCTTACTACCTGATAATCTTCACCCTCAAACTCTTCCATGGTTCCCTACTGCCTTCAGAATAAAGTTCTAACTCCTTGCTAGGGCACAGAAAGCCCTTCATGATCACTACTTATGTCTATGATCATTCGTCCTCTGTCTTAAACTTTTACATAAAGTTTACATGAAAGGAATATACAAGAGACCAAAGATATAAGTAAACAGAAGACATGAGGCAGACACAAGCTATGAGAGCAGCCTAGGCTGAGAGCTGATAGGGGACAAAGGAGCAGGAAGAGAAATGAAGAGAGGCAGAGACGGGAAACACCACCAGAGCCATGGGAACAGTGAGGCTGGAGCCACTGCTGAGGGGAACAAGCCAGTCCTAGAACTGTCCTGGACGCAGGGTGAGCTCCCTACTCTGGAACCCCATTCCAGGCAACAGCAGGCCCTGCAGCTGTAAGGCTCTTTCTGGTTTCCCATGAGATTCTCAAGTCCCTTATCTATTCTTAAAATAACTCCCAATTACTTGAGGTAGCCTGAATGAACCAAAAAGTCTAACACAATATAGATGGTAATTGAGGCCATGGAGATGGAGGGAAATCTCATGGAGAACACGCAGAGTAAGAAGAGAAGATTGCTCAGGATGCTGATTATTAAGGAGTGGATGAAAAAAGAGGACAATGAGAAAGAGAATGAGAGAGAATGGCAAGTGAGGCAGGAGGAAAACTAGAAATGACTGGCTCAAAGTCTAACCAGGGCTTGATGACCTAGTCGGGAGACTGGAGACATGGCTGATAAAGGACAGGCATTCGTTGGAGGAAATCTGGGGGCCAAACAACCTCCACGTGAAGTCTGGCTGATGCGTGTGGACCACTGAGTGAGTACAGGGATGTTGCCAAAACGCCAACAGGTACAGCATGTTTGTGGGAAGGTGTACACCTTCTTAAGTGTAGAAAAGAGGCTAAGGGGGGCATGGTGGTAGCTGGAACAGGGGTCGCTGCTCTGTGTGATTCACTGGCCACTGACGCCCAGTTAGCTGTGAAAGTGTACGTGAAAGCGCTACAGGACAGCCACAGTTGGAAAGGGGTGTGGCAGTAGAGAAAGAAAACAAAACAAACAAAACCCAAGCCTAACCAGGGGAGAGTTCCAAAGAGGAAGGGGCGGTCAGCATAAACAGTTTCTGAGAGAGCAACAAAGATGAGACTTAATGTGTCCATTGGATTTGGTAGCCATGAGCTAAGTCACTGGTGACCTTGGTGGGAGTTGCACCAGGAGAGTGTTGAGGCAGGAAGCCAGACAGCAAGAGGTAAAGGGCTGGCTGGGAGTGAGAAGTGCCAAGAGGATGCTAGGCCAGGAGGTGGACAGAGCTCCCATTGATGGCTTCAGTTTTTTTATGGGACAAGTGGAGGGCAGGCTGGGAGCTTGAGGACAGTGTAATGCCTTGGAACAGTTGCATTGTGGGGGACAGGAGAAGGGCATGGAAAAAGATTGATGAGCAGGAATGAGGGCTCAGATGACTTAGAACCCTTGAATTTTTAGAAATATGATTCAGTACAGATACAAGATTATTATAACCTTCAGCTACCCAGATGTAGGAGTGGAGAAGCTGCTCAAAGGATTTGGCCAAGGAGACACAGTTTTCTGGCTTGGTTCCATAGAAGGAGAGTGGTAGAAGCTGAAGTGTAGTAAGAGAGATTTTCTTTCAATGTGGAATCTTGGACAAATGCTCAGAGAGGCTGACAGGCTGGGAGAACTCTAACGCGTCTCATATTTTAATGTACCTGTACATCTGAATGACCTGGGAAGAAATGCAGAGTGATACAACACTGAGTGAGCTTCTTGCTTGGCCATGGGGAAGGGTGGAGGAGGTATTGGGGCTGTCCTGGGACTGAGAAGCAAGGAAGGGATAAGGAAGGGACAAAGGGGGCAAAGAAATCCTCTAGGGGAAGGCAGGATGGCAATTGGGAGGATGACTTGGGTATGGTGGCAGGGAAATGGAGCATGGAGGAGGTAAGTGCAGGGACACGGCAGCAGGGTCCCACGGAGGAAGAGTTCAGGGAGAAGGCTAAGGATGAGAGCAATGGGCTCAGTGCGAGGCTGGGGATAGAGAGGCACTGAAGATAGATGTCTTTGTGTCTGCTCAGTGACCAGAGGTCTGGATGGGTGTCCAATGCCTTAACTTGGCCATGGGGTGGGGCTGGATGGGGCAGGGCCTTCTGGCAGCCAGACCAGCCCTGGCTCATCCCTTTACCATTCATCACTGCACAGGCAGTAAGGGCCTGTCCTCTGTGTGGGAAGTGCCACCCTACCTGTCCTCTGTGTGGGAAGTGCCACCCTAGACCCAGCCCAGACAGTCCCTCGCCAGCTCCGCACCTCTTTGATGGCTGCCATGCGCACGGTCTCATAGTAGTGCAGGGGTGCATTGGGCGTGCTCATGTCGTAGCCAAAGCCTGCGACTGCCACTTCATCACAGCCGTGTAGTGCCATGGTTACTGCCACACTGCCAAGTGTCGGGATGTTCTGGAGGAGGGGAGTAGGGGGGATATAGGGTTCAAGGGGAGGGTTGGGTCAGGCCAAGACTCAGTAAGGTCCCCAGAACTGAGCTCTGTTCCCACCCCAAAGACTGAGCTCCTTCCCTCAAAAACTACCACCCAGGAGCGCTGCCACCCCCTGCCACCTTCCCCTCCTTCCCAAGGCACCTCTGCCCCAGTTTCCCTTCTCCTCTCTCTCAGGGGCCCAGCTATCTCACCCCCCGGCCCATGAGGCCATTGTTGAAGGGCAGTCCGATGAGGGTGAAGGCTGCCTCCTGGATGAAATAGGGGTTGAGGATGCGAATCTCAGGGGGCTCCTTGGGCACTCGAGTGGCCACAGATTTCCAGAAGCCGTCTGATGCACTCTGTGGACATAGCACAAGTGGGCATGAGCTAGGCACACAGCTTGTGAGGGCTCTGGGTAAGTGATAGGGACCCAGAGTGTGTATGGGTACATGAGTAACGGGGGTCTGAGGGGTAAACACAGCCAGTGTACGGAGTTCTTGGGTGTGTGGAAGGATGTGGCATGTGTGACAGTGATAAGGACATGTGACAGGGAACAGGGAGCACGTGGTGGGGACCACAGTGCATAATGGGGAACAGAAAGTGAGAGTTGCAGGGTGGGCCAACAGGAAGACCTAATGGTGCAGCTGTCCTGCCTCTCCATTTGCAGCAACTGAGGTGCACAGGAGGAGCCTGCCCTCTCTCTCCTAACTGCTCTGCCGTGTTCTTCTTTCCTTTCTATTGTCTCTCTGGGTCTCTCAGTCTATTGTTCTAAAATGAACCTGAAAAATAAAGACAGAACATGAGCTAGTATAGAATAACAGAACAATACTCAAGTCCCACTTCTGCCACGCACTGGAGTTGGGTGACTCTAGGTAAGTGACAAGCTCTCTGAGCCTCAGTTTCTTTAATTTACAAATGAAACCATTCTTTCCCCACAGATCTCAGCCACAGTGCTGGGGAGGCATCACACCTGAAACCTGACTCAGGGTCTGTTCCAGGGCCACGGCTTCCTCTCTTTCTACCTCTCTCTCTCTCTTCCAGCCACATGGAGGACTCTAGTCCCCCCAGCCCCACTTCTCTGTTCAGTCTATGGTCCCTTCCTAGTCTACACACTGTGGTATATCACTTCAACTACTCTCTTGTGAGCTTCCTCCACACCCTGCCCCTGTCCTTCTATTGCTCTAGCCCAGGGAAACTCTGAATTTCAGATCAACACAACCATCTGTATTTTCTCTCCTTATAAGTGGGTGCCTGGGCATTGCAAGAGAAAGTCACAAACCAACTCTGCAGACTGGAAGCATCACTGAACCATGGACACCAACCTAATTATTATTTTCAGTGAGTTTGTTATTTGTCTAGAAAACCTAAAAGAATGAAATTTAGAGTGGGTAAAATAGCTTAGTAATAAGGTCCTATACACCAATAGGAAACAATCACCAGATAGAAAAGAGTTTCCACTTGCAATTCTAACAACAACAAAAAATCAAATACTGAGCAATAAACTTAAATATGTGAGACCCACAAGAAAAGGAGCCTTGGTGGCACAGTGGTTAAGCACTCAGCTGCTAACTGAAAGGTCTGCAGTTTGAATCCACTAGGCACTCTGGGAAAAAGATGTGGCAGTCTGTTTCCATAAAGATTTACAGTCTTGGAAACTCTGTAGGGCAGTTCTACTCTGTCCTATGGGGTTGCTATGAGTAGGATTTGATTCAATGGCATTGGGTTTGGTTTTTGATAAGAAGAAAATGACAGTCTTCACTGAGAGATAAAAAGACAACTTGAAAACAAAACAAAACAAGCAAACAAAGAAATGGAGAGACATAAACTTCCTGGTTGGGGTATCTGAATATTAAAACAATGCCAATTCCTTTGGGATTAATTTAGAAACTTACCAGAATTTTAAGAAAAATGCCAGCAGAATTTTTTTTTTTTTTTTTTTTGAGATTTATCAGAAGGATTCTAAAACCTCATCCAAAAGATTTAATGGGTAAAAAGAATCCCTAAGGTGTTCATCAGCTGAGGAATGGATAAACAAACTGTGGTACATACACACAATGGAATACTATGCAACCCTAAAGAATAGTGTAGAATCTGCGAAACACCACATAACATGGATGAATTTGGAGGACATTATGCTGAGTGAAATAAGTCAATACAGAAGGATAAATATTGTTTTAGTCTGTTATTATAAAAGTCAAGGAACGGTTTATATATGGAAGGAAATTTTCTTTGTTGGTTACCAGGAGTGGGAGGGGAGGGGGTGGAACACTGTTAGATAGGTAGAGATAAGTATTGATTTGGGTGAAAAGAAGGGCAATGTACCAAATGTGAGTGATCAACATGGTGGCACTGAGGAAGAGGAAGATATAAAGAGGTACATGGGAGGTACAGACAACAAAGATGAACCCTTTTGTACATACAGTACTGTGTTGTCAGTGAAGGCAAACGTGGGTATATGGGTGGACAGATGGGTGGATAGGCTGAACTATTAGGTATGTCTATGCAGCAGGGAGTGTACCTAAAACCATGTATAGGGTTGGCAGACAACAGTTCTACAAGTGTATTTGTATGTTCTGTAAGAATTCCCAGGGGGATAGTAGAGCTGACAAGGGACAAGGTTGTAGTTACTTCTTGGTCACAGCCAGCTACCTAGAGGGACCGAGTAGTTGAACCTGCGGGCTTGGGACCACAGTCACAGGGGACATCAAACTCAACTGGCATAACATACTGCACAAAACATTGTTCCACCTCCTACTTTGGCGAGTAGTGACTAGGATCTTAAAAGCTTGCAAGCAGCCATATAGATGCAACGATGGGTCTCTCCTTGTCCAGAGCAAAGAAGAATGAAGAAAATCAAAGATTCATGGAAACAATTAGTGTACAACTGGTACACCACACAATCCTCAGTCGATATGAACACAAGACCAGAAGAACTAGATGGTGCCTGACTACCACTGTTAACCACTCTGAGGGGGATCTATGTAGGAGATCCTGGATAGAGAGGGAGAACAATGTGGAACAAAACTCAAAATCATTTGGAGAGAAAAAAAAGGGGACCAGATTTGCTGGTCCGATAGAGCCTGGTAGAACCACTGAGACTATGGCCCCTAGCTGCCCTTCAGGTCAGGAATTGAACCCACACCTGTGGTTTCCAACCAAACAAAAGACAGGCATAAGAAGTGAACATGTACCTGAGGTAGATACGCTTGTTAGAGAGAACAATCATGGGAGAAAGAAGGGCTGTTTATGCACAGGGAGACAGTTCAGGGGGCAGGAGTGCATGGAGGGATGGACACAGGGAAGAGGTAACTATGGGGAGGAAGTGGAAGGGGAGCTGTTGCATTGGGCTAAATTGTAGTCAATGTCATGAGACAATGTGTGTGTGAACTGCTGTATGGAATGTGAATTTGCTCTCTAAACTTTCACCCAAATCACAATTAAAAAAAAAAAAAATCTCCAAAATTTAATAGTTATTAAAATATAGTTTGAATGTGCAATTATTAAAACAGTGATATGTGTATATGGATAAACATAAAGATCAATGAACCAGGATAGCCTAGAAGGAGGTTATGATAGAGGCAGTCTCATGAATCATTGGGAACAAGATAGGTTTCTCAGTAAGTGATATTTGAAAATTTGCCACTTGGAAAGAAGATCCCTTATTTCCTCTCCTCATACCATACCCCAAATAACTGTTAGAAAAGTAACACTAAAAGAAAACTGAGGTACATAGTTATTAAGATGAAAACAAAAAAATGGGGATAACTTTGTCACAATTAAGAAATGCATATTTACAAAAACTCAAAATAAAATTAATATAAGACTGCATAAAAATAGGTACAGGAGATTAAAAAAAGCATACTAAACCTGAAAAATATTCAAAGAAATGCAGATGAAAACAATGAGATAATATTTTTTATCTACTAAAATGTGTATAAACATGTATGTGGGTATCTCTTAATGTGTGTCCCAAAGAGGGGTTGCTATGAGTCAGGGCTGACTCAACGGCATATAACAACAACAGCAACACATTAGGAGAACATTTTTGGGAACCATTTATCTGATAGAGCCTAATATCGAAAAATCCCACTGTCATTGAGTCAATTCTGACTCATTGTGTCCCCCAGTGGGTTTCTGAGGTGGTAAATCTTTACAGAAGGAGACTGCCCCATCTTTCTTCTGCGGAGTGGCCAGTGGGCTTGAACTGCCAACCTTCTGGTTAGCAGTCAAATGCCTTAGGAACTGCGCCACCAGAGCTCCTTTAATATACAAAATAAATATAAAAAAAATTTCTACAACTTAACAACGAAAAGGTAAACTATCCAACTGAAAAATGGGCAAAAAGCTTGAACAGACTTTTTCATAAAAGAGGATCTTCAAATGGCCAACAAATGCCTGAAAAGGTGTTTAGTGTCATCAGTCAGATGCAAACCAAACCCACAGTAAGATACAATCTTACCCTATCAGAATGGTAATGATCACAAAACCAAACTAAACTAAAACAAACAAACAATACAACAGGTGTTGTCAAGGTTGTAGAGAAACTGGAACCTTCATCCACGGCTAGTAGAAATATAAAATGATACAGTCACAGTGGAAAACAGTTTGGTGGTTCTTCAAAAAGTTGAACATAGAACTACCATATGACCCAGCAATCCCAATCCTAGAGAAATACAACAAAGAAGTGAAGGTAGGAACACAGACAGCAACCTGTTCACCAATGTTCACTGTAGCACTTTCCACAATAGACAAAAGGTGGACACAACCCAAATGTCTATCACAGATGAATGGATAATCAAAATGTGGCATATACATATAATGGAATATTACTCAGTCATAATGAGAAATGAAGTCTTGATACATGCTACAACATGAATAAACCTTGAAAACATTTTGCTACATAAAAGCCAGAAACAAAAGGACAAATACTATACTATGATACTTAATTGAAAGAAGCAAATATACAAAACCAAAGACTATTCGAGGTTACCAGGGGTGGGAGGAAGGGGATAAGGGAAAGATTTTGCTTAGGGGGTATTGAATTTATGTTAATGGTGGGATAATTTGGAAAAGGATAGTAATAATGGTTGTCCAGCATAAAGAATGTAACCACTGTCTGAATTATACCCTTAGAAGTTGTGGAATTGGCGAATGTTTTGTTGTGCATACTTTTACCACACACAAAGTCTCAAAGCTGTTTATGCCTATGATCCCACAATTTTTCTTTTAAGTTATCAGAATTTGTAAAAAGCTGTTTATTGCAGTGTTATTTAAAAGAGTGAAAAGCCAGTGAAAAATCCCCAAAAGTTTACAACAGAGGTTTGGTTAAATGACACATGCATATAACAGAATGTCATAG